AATATTTTTCAAATTTGAGCAGGAGTTTCAGTTTCCAAAAACTGTTCAGGGGTTGCTTCTGGTGTTTAGTGAGTGGGAACCTTAGATGTTAGCCACTCTGCAATGTGGAGAGCAGTCCTGAGCAATGAAGAACTGTTTCGTCTTGTACAACTTTCAGGTGTCCTACAGGAAATGTACAGGTGCAAAAGTCTGATTACAATGATCCAAGCCCAGAATCCAACTCTGTTGCACTTACAAATGCAAAATATTCTGTGCCCTTTTAAAATTTTTTTATTAAGGTATGATTGATATACACTCTTATGAAGGTTTCACATGAAAGAACAATATAGTTACTACATTTACCCATATTATCAAGTCCCCACACATATCCCAATGTAGTCACTGTCCATCAGTGCAGCAACTTGCCAGAGATCCACTATGTCCCCTTCCTCCTCAGGGAGAATACTAAATTCTCCCTAAAGATATCTGGAATATTACATCAAGTTATATCACCAAATAAGCAATAAAACAACACCTGCCCTCCCACACCCCTACCCTTTGGTAACCACTAGTTCATTCTGTGCCCATTTTTAATAAACACTAAATTTCTACTACCATGCAAATCAAAGGAAGATATTTACTTCAATGCTAAGAGTTATGTACCCTTTTTGGAAATTCTATCACCGATACCACACCATTCCTGTTGTTTGCATCAGCAACGTCATCTCCTTACAATGGTCTGCATTTGCACATGGCTTACATTTCCCATGGTTCTAAGAAGATGTATGAGAATCCTGTCACTTTCTCATGCTGTCTACTATTTTCATGTCCAAGTATTTATGCAATGAAATACTTATCATTATTATAAAGGTTATTTCTCCTTCAAAATCATTATAAATCCTTCCATTGCCTTCTACAAAATTATGTATAGGTAGATGATATTTTTATTGGCTTCATTTTAGAAGAGTAAAGGGAACATTAATAATATCTATTATAAATGGTGTTGGGTTCATAGGGTTGAGAACTGCTACCATAAGGAACAGAAAGCCATTCAGAAGCTTCCAGCAGGAGAGTAAGTACCATGATGAAGCCAAGCTGGAGGCATAAGTATGCAGAGGGTACAGAAAATAAGGTCTACAAGATGTGGCAAGAGGCAAAAAGACCAGAAGAGTCGAATCAAATCTGGGAATAAAAGAAATGAAGACCTAAAATACCACACTGCCTGGAAGAATCTCATAGAAGAGCATTTAATGGAGGATAGCTTAAAAAGAAAAGTCATTAGAACTCAGTGACTGGATATAGTGTCACAGAGGGACTGTCATCGTGTCATTAGACTGCAGAGTATTGTGCTCTCAATATTCTCACACATGTGCACACACATTTGCAAGCATGCACACACACTCTGAAACTCCAGATTCATTACCAAATAATCCCTCTCTCCTCCTGCTGCCAAAGTGAAGACTTATCGCATCATTAATTCTGAAATCTGACAGCTCAACATGACATGATCTGAATAGAAGGGGCAAAGCCTTATTTGGTTTATTTATTTGTTTGTGATTCTCCATTCAAGATAAACCCTGACATAAATTTCAAGTATGCTTCAAGTACATTCCAGGTTATAAATCATAGACTTGCATTCTCATACTACGGTAAGCAGAAAACCACATAGATCAACAATAGATATATATGCCTCCTTTCCTTGTCAAATTCATGCACATATGCCCACACAAAGAGAGACAATAAAAGGAAACCAAGAATCTAAAAACCCATGATCATTTCTCTGCAGCAGACGTGTTTACTCATCAGAAGCCATGGCAATATAGTAGGATATTAGACTGGGCAAAGGAACCATGGCTTTAAATGTCAGAGAAGCATTTCAAAAATGAAGGATGGAGAGCCACTGATAGTAACCATAAGAGAATCAGTGCTGGCAAATATTGGGGACAGAAGAGAATGTCCAGATTCAGATTGAATGTCCAGTATTACATGCTGAGATAGCTGAGTTTAGCAGATAAACCCATCCTCAATTTCCATTGCTCAAGAACAGATAATGTAATATTTCCTTAAACAGAGGCAGAATGAATCAAAAATATCCCCAGACATAATAGGACTATTTAGTTATCCTGCTCCATATCTGTGCAACAGTACTGAGTCAGTAAAACACAAATAGCAGAGCCTTTTTGAACAGTCGAAAAGTGAGAAAAATAGCCATCATATCTTTCTCAACTCTAAGCAATTATTTCCCCACTCCACCAAAAATTCTCAGTTGCATTCCATCACAGTGGAAAATGTCCCTAAGAAACCTCCCGCTGAATTCTCATACTGTCCAGCTCATCTTTCTTTTTATGCATCACTTATCATCTGAAATATATTCCTTAGCACATCCTTATTTGCACTGTGCAACGGAAATGCAAGACAAATCCCCGTGACAATGGTAACTGCCTGAAATGGGTAATGAAGGGCTTATCCAGGGAAAGGCACGGAGAACACCATCCATCTCTCCCCATCTCAGCTGCCTGATCACAGGTTTGACAAGAGGTAGAAAGAGTATTCATATATTGGGTGTGAATTATGCTACAAGGCAGGAGGTTAATGAGCCATGAAAAAAACAGAAAATGACCTGAGGTTAAAAGGAGATGCTGCTGGCTGGTGACCTTATTGGTGGCTATGCTTAAAGGCCACAGCCTTCCCTCTTCCTCCTATTTAGGCACAAACTCTAAGCTCCTTGTCATGGAAGACAAGGATCCCATGACCCACCCTTTGCCCAAGGCTCTCATCTCACCTCCCACCACTGCCCCTCTGCATCCTGAGGTCTCCTCTCTTAAGCCTCCAGGTCATCATCTGTGATTCTTCCTGAATCCACTTCTTTACTATTGTCCCCTAAAAGGAATCTACTTTCTTCTCAACACTCAGCTCTGACATCGCACATTGGGGTAGATGTCCTTTCTCTCTGCTTTCCCTGCAAACAGGGTTTATCTCCATCTGGGCACCTACCACTTACCTTGTGATGGTCTCTTCCCTCATCTGTCTCCCAGTTATGACCTTCAGGCAGGGACCAAGTCATTTTGGTGTTTGTATCTTCAGTGGACAGCACAGTGGGCCCTCAGTACAGGGCGTGCTGTCTGATCGAAAAGTGAGAAAAATAGCCATCATATCTTTCTCAACTCTAAGCAATTATTTCCCCACTCCACCAAAAATTCTCAGTTGCATTCCATCACAGTGGAAAATGTCCCTAAGAAACCTCCCGCTGAATTCTCATACTGTCCAGCTCATCTTTCTTTTTATGCATCGCTTATCATCTGAAATATATTCCTTAGCACATCCTTATTTGCACTGTGCAACGGAAATGCAAGACAAATCCCCGTGACAATGGTAACTGCCTGAAATGGGTAATGAAGGGCTTATCCAGGGAAAGGCACGGAGAACACCATCCATCTCTCCCCATCTCAGCTGCCTGATCACAGGTTTGACAAGAGGTAGAAAGAGTATTCATATATTGGGTGTGAATTATGCTACAAGGCAGGAGGTTAATGAGCCATGAAAAAAACAGAAAATGACCTGAGGTTAAAAGGAGATGCTGCTGGCTGGTGACCTTATTGGTGGCTATGCTTAAAGGCCACAGCCTTCCCTCTTCCTCCTATTTAGGCACAAACTCTAAGCTCCTTGTCATGGAAGACAAGGATCCCATGACCCACCCTTTGCCCAAGGCTCTCATCTCACCTCCCACCACTGCCCCTCTGCATCCTGAGGTCTCCTCTCTTAAGCCTCCAGGTCATCATCTGTGATTCTTCCTGAATCCACTTCTTTACTATTGTCCCCTAAAAGGAATCTACTTTCTTCTCAACACTCAGCTCTGACATCGCACATTGGGGTAGATGTCCTTTCTCTCTGCTTTCCCTGCAAACAGGGTTTATCTCCATCTGGGCACCTACCACTTACCTTGTGATGGTCTCTTCCCTCATCTGTCTCCCAGTTATGACCTTCAGGCAGGGACCAAGTCATTTTGGTGTTTGTATCTTCAGTGGACAGCACAGTGGGCCCTCAGTACAGGGCGTGCTGTCTGCCAGACAGGGAAGTTTTTCATTTCCTTCTAAAGGGCAAGTAGAAGGGCTACTGTCTATAAAGGCTGTTGAGAGTATCATTGATTTCCTCATGAAAGTAAGGAGAGGTTTGCAAATCAGAGCTTTGGCCCCGCCGAGTCACGAGGTAGCTGTGCTTGAGAGGGAAGATGAAAGGGAAAGAGGACTGCCCAACTTTGATGGACTGCTCATTGTGAACTCTAATCCTACATGGCATGGGCACAGAATCTTTACAGGAGCCCCCACTGGTTCACTTCAGTATGTGCCATGTCCGTGCAAAAGGGGGTGCAACAAAGTAGTGTTGCTCCGCCATGTGTCTTCATAGTTCCTGGGAATCTGGGTTGGAGGCAGGAGCTTAGCTGGCAGAGCTGTGTTGGAGAGGTGCAGGTGAGACACAGAAGTCCCTAGAGCCAGGGGCTCCCCTCCCTCTGGGCTGCCAGCTGTGTGTGAAGACATTTTCAAGCACATTTTGTTCCATGACTAGTTGGAACCCATTGTTAACATCTCTTTTCTTTTTTATCACATAAGGCCCTTGAGCATAGAGGCAGGGCCTTTGTTAGTGGGAAGAACAGATCTCACACTCACAAAAGGAACCAGATTTCCACTTTAGAAGTTATCTCCATGGGAGGAGATGCAAACAATCAGACGTGCTATCAGTTGAAAAAAAGAGGCCCTTCATCAGATAACTTGGACCTTGTGCTCCATTACCAGATCACGTTTTCTGAAGTGCACTGTGAATTAGAAGTTCTAATAAATTCTATAACTATCTTGCAACAGCACAATTATTTTGAATTTGTGTGCGTGTCAGGTATGTTAATATGTTAAATGTAAGCAATATTTTCAAGAGATTCCTACAAGTACAGAATTATTTATAGGACCAATACACAATAGGCATTGAATCTATTTCATCAAAAGGAAAAACACAATTTACTTATTACTTACCAAATTAAGTTTTTCCCAGTACTTAGGTCCTTCTTCCATCCCTCTGAGGCTTGGTGGAATGTACCAAAAGCAAATATTGGCATACTCAGGCTGAGGATTAAGAAAATTTGAATTAGTGAGAATGTTTGACATCTTGATCTAGGCGATGGCTACGTGAGTGTATACAAATATCAAATTCATCAAGCTGTACATTAAGATTTGTGCATTTTAGAGTATGTACTTCAATATAAAATAAAAAATAAAATTTGGGAGTTGTTTGGTTAGGCTAAGATTAATCTTAGGCTGCAATTAAACTCTTAAGCTAGTTTCCTTAAGAGTTACCACATGTGTATTATGTTGATAACAATTTAGAATTGATAAAACAGACATCCATTCTACCTTACTCCTGAGAGTAGCCCACTCGGAAGGTTTTTTTCTCAGTTTGGTGCATCTAGAGGCCTATTGGTTGGGTATTTCACTAAGGAGTGAACACAAGATCAGGAATAAACATAATAAAGTTTGAAGCTGCATCTGCCTAGCTCTGACCATCAGTTAGCACTGGATACACATATGCTCAGATGCCCTACATCCTGCCTCTTGAACCCTGAACCTTAATTATTTCTTACACACCATATCTTTTCAAAAATTCCTTCTCTACTTAAGCCAGCCTAAGTTGTCTTCTATTATGTGCTGCATCTGACAAATGCAAAATTGCCAGTTACTTTTAAGTTGATAGCACACAACATACCTGTGCTTCACTTAAACATCTATACTGTGACCCTAGCCAATAGTGTTTTAGAGAAAAAAAAAAAAAGCATCATCTCAACTCCTGATTCTCAAGTTTCAGTATCAATCTCAAGGGTTAATAAGGATATGAATCAGCTACAGGGCTTCTTAAAATTACATTCTCAGTCCTTGTGTTCAGAATGCCCAGAGTCTAACTAAGTCCATTATAGAAAAGGCTGAAGAACTGGCATTTTAAGAAGCATCTCAGGTGACTCTGCATAGCGCATGGTCTCTGTTTGGGAAATTCTGATACAAAGTGTCCATAGCCCAGTCACCTTCTCTAGTGATCTACTTTCCCACCAGACACAGTTTGGTTAAACATGGGACAACATTCCAGAACAGGCGTTCATCTAGCCACTGTCACACAGACAAAGAGATTTTCTCTACCACACCCTGTATCCTCACCGGCAAAAACATAGGGCATGCTAAAGGCATTCACAAGACAAGTGGTTTGGTACATTACGTTGGGGAGTCACAAATTAGATACACGTAATTGTATTCAGGAAAGATTATGGGTCATGGCCATCCACTCAGCAACTTCCTTACTGAATTCTTAGCACTGACAGTATTTGAAATGATTTCCTTTTCCTACCATAAACACAGTTTGTGCGTGATAACCAATGTTATAATAGTTCTCAACAATCATCAGAGTTATGTGCCACTATCACTATCAAGTTTTTCAAAAAGAGAAAACAGCTCTCATCTCATATCTTACAATCAAGACTAATATATAGAGTTCTGATTGTAGTAGATTTTAAATCACAAATGAATGCCCAGAAACATTCCCAGCTCAACAAGATAAGTTCTTTATCTGATCATTCTTTCACTTTCAAAATTTTTAAATGTTTATTGGATTTGACCCCCTGCAAAAAGCTACAAATCTTCAAAATACAGAGTAGCTTAAAATAGAGGACTAGGGGATTCAACTCAACTTCCTCAAATACTCGTCATGATAGTACAATAGTCTTTACAAATATATACAATTTATACTTGGATGTCTGATTTATATTTGATTTGGTTTCTCTAGGGATAGATGTACTGGACTTCAAAATCAATTAATCATTTAATGTAAATAAATCTCTTCAAATAAACTATGATCAATAAGAAAGCAAAAGAAAAATATAGTTATTATCTGTCACTAGATTCTAGAAATCCATGTCTTTATATTAACAAAGATGACTTTCCAGATACCATTTACATCTGTTACTAGCTCACTGCCTCTTAGCTCCAAATCCATTTTCTCTGTGTCCTGGAATAATGGCGGCAGACTCTAAATATTTCTTGTCACCATGCAGTCCATCAGCAGAGGGTGCTGGAGGGACACTGAGAAGGAAGTAGTAACTTCCTGATCCGGTGTGCTCACCTCAGGGGTCTTCTACGGTACATGTGTCTTCTTGCTGCAGCATTGAGGACTAGCAGCAAGTAGCTGACCTGCACTGGCCTCTCAGGTGACTTCATAGCAGAAGGGCAGCAGGTGGGCCCCCATAAAGGGCTTTCCCTGGCACATTCCCATCAGTGGTTTCACAGGGAAATGCTGCCAGCGAGGCACTTCACCTTGGATGGCTTCTCGGCACCCCTGTGTGTAGCCTGAATTTGGGGTGAAGCACTACCTTGAATATGGCTTCCTCCCGCACTCCAGGTGAGTTACCAGAGAATGCTACTGGTGTGACACCTCGGTCAGCTTCTGTGCCGTCCAGCGAGCTGCTACGTCCTCTCCATCCAAGTCAGGGTTGCAGCCCTGGCAGGGGTGGCTTCTTGCTTGGATGCTCCATTTCAGTTCTGAGAGTGGTGGTTTGTCTACAGCCCCTATTCCTGTACTTTTTAGGGTCCTCTTTGTCTCCTATGTGGCAATCTTCCACAACTCCTATCTGCTGCTAATAATTCTTTTCTTTTTTTGATGTGAAGTGCTTCACAAATTTGCATGTCACGGGGGCCATACTAATCTTCTCTGTATCATCCCAATTTCAGTATAATGCTGCTGGAGCAAGCACAATTTCTTATATTGCACTTTCCCACTTCAAATGACTGTGCAGTTTTCATCTTCTTTTGGACTCTAATACATTATTAAATTAGTTATTCTTTTTCATTTGCATGGCAACATTATGAATCATTGTGTAATAGTTTTTATGTGCTACCAAATCTGCTCTATATTTCAGAAACTAGAACCTAGACCTTTTGAGTCACAATTTAAATTTGCTTCCTGATAAGATTCTGTTTAGATATTTTAGAAGTGACGTATCTGTGATGCCTTTTGCTCAGGCAGTCTCTCATAGAATGGTGTGGCTTCATGGCTGTGATATCTGAAAACCTGTGGTGCCTTTTTGACATTTCATTTTATTGGAGTAAATTTAATGTTCCATTTGGTAGAATACCTTTACTGTAGTCATTTGCAAAAGTATTACAATTTGTCTTAAAACATCCCTTTGAATATTCACAAGGAACATATTGGAGTTTTTCTTGTCTCTTTGCCTATGTACCTGGCATTTTATATAATGACTTTCTTCAAGAGGTTTCAAAGCACTAATGAGTATTTTCAGAGTAGAATCATTCACATGCCACTTAATTTCCTATATATAAGAAAGCCTGACCTCTTGGGTGTCCTAGGAACATATTTAGTCTATATTCTCTAACACCATAAAATTGAGAAGGCATGAAAAGGAATTCAAGTGTCTAGGCCAGAAAGATGATAGTGAAGAATACAAAAAACTTGTAGCAGTAAAAGCACTGTCAATCTACAAAAATTGATGCAGAACTAGAGAAGTGTCATTAAGAAAAGATGGATACATTCTATCCTGATTTTCAAGGGAAAACAAATAGATATAGTCTAAGAAATAAAGCAGGTGCTTTGAGGTCCATTCCAGCAAGGATTATTGAGCAAATGGTGTAAGACCTGTTGGAGAAAAAGTCACCAATATGTAGTGGCTTGGATCCTCTAAAACTGAGTCAAATCAAAATAAATTCATTTCCTTTGCTTACAATGCCATTAGATCACATAATAATAAAAATCAAAGCTAGCCCACAGCATTTTAATACGTATAACTAGAGAATCTAGCACACAGATTGAAACAACCATTTGCAATCATGCAAATATAGAATGGAGACAGGGGGCACAATGGACTTTAATCGACTCTAAGCTCATAAATTTTAAACACCAGATTAGACTACTGAAAAATTTCAAAGGCAGTGCTGCGTAGCACAGAAAATCTGGGTTTTAGAGTCCCATGGATGTGGTTTGAATCCCAACTTCACCAGGTCTTTGCCTGGATAAGTGTCAAACATCCTAAGCGATTCCTGATCTTTAAAGTAGCAATCACATGGTCTGTCCCGCAGAGTTGCTCTGATGAATGAAGAGATTATTTCCAATATTTACTACCATACCTGACATACAGAAGGCACTCTGTTAATGTAGTAATAACAATTATTTGGGACTATATTGGTGAAAAGAGATGTTCTTGTCAAGTGGATGAATAGCTCCCATTAAAATTTGCACTGGGTGATTTACCTATGTTAATTTCTGCATGCCATATTTGAAGGGGAACATTAACAAATTATAGGATGTCCAAAGAAATGCAACCAAAATGTTCAATTTAATAAGCAGAATTTTCTATGTTCTAGATATTGGACCAGGTGTTAGAATGGGAAAAATGCTTATCTCCAGGAATTCAGAGACCGGTAATAGAGCTAGGTGCAGGCAATTAAACTGCAGGGCAATGAGCATTACAAAGAACTTCCTTGTAATCCAATAAATATTCCTGGCAATTGGAATAGCACACACATAGAAGCCAGTGTATCTAGGGGGATGGCAGGTACCAGGAGTGGAGGACAGGGTGAACTGGAGAGGTGAGGCTGGAAAAGGAGATAGGAGCCAACTCATGAAGGGATTCCTCATTTCCCATGCTTGGAAGTCTGGCTTGATCCTAGAAGCAATGTAAGTACTGGAGAATTTCAATCTAGGGAAGAAATTTCATTTTAGAAAGACCACAGTATGGCCACAGTGTGGAACTGGGCTAGGGGGTTCTAACACTGGAACAGGAGATGGGTTAGGCGACAGTGCCAGCCTGAGGAGTGACAGTAGCCTGAACTGAAGCAGCAGCTTCAGGAGTGGAGAAGAGTGAGTACCCGGGAGACACGGAGGGGAGGGGAAAGGGAGAGAGCGAAGACACATCCAGTTTTATTTGGCTAGATCATAGTTCTAACAGCCAAAAGAAGGATTTAGAATTTTGGTAAAGAAAATGGTTACACTTCAACTTTAGAAATGTTGAATTTGAGTTAATGGTGGGAGTGTAATTGTAAGTGAGAATTCCCAGACACATCTATATCCAAAGGACTAGTGTTTAGGAGACAAGTCAAGGATAGAGATGTTACTGAGACTATTGACAACAAAGCTCTAAATAGGGATAAAATGTTTCAGGGAAAGTCTGTGGACACAATAAAGGGCTAAAGACCAGAGTAGAGATGAACACTGAAAGGTGTACCCAGATGAAGAGACCTTCACATAGAGAGAAAGAGAAGAAAAACTCACATGGAAAGGAGAAATACTGGGAGAACAAATCAAAGAAAACAGGACAGAATTTAAAAAGGGGTGGAGTGAGTAATGGTGTAAAATGCTGCAGAAATCTTCCCACAAGACAAAGATTAAAGAATGTGTATTGAATTTAGCTATTAGAAAGTTGTGATCCAAAAAAACACTTTTTATTCCAGTGCACTTGATACATATTAATAGTAAGCTTCAATAAGTATTAGAATATGAATGATTATAGCTTCCTGGAATAGGAATGTATGGTAAATTCTCCAACAAAGGAAGTGTTCAGGAAGAGGCTGACCTCCTGTTATAGGTGCTATCAAGAGAAATGTCCTGCATTGAGCAGGAAGTTGATTAGATGTCCTTAAAGATCTTTTATAACTCGTAAAGTCTATACAACCTAAATAACTCATCCTAATGGAGATCTCAGGAAGAGAAAAGGAAAAAGTTGAATAATTAGGACTCTCCTGATCAATTATTTAATTGATCAAAATAAAATAGGTGAATGATAGTATAAGAATGAATATACCTCTGGGAAAACATCGATTAGATCTTAGATCCAGCACAGAAACATAGAGGTATGACTTTCAGGGGCCTATGAATAATGCAGAATTCACTTGAAATGATAAGTTTCAAGCATCTTTAAGAGGATATGCATTATTTTTGCCCTTTTCAGGGAAAAAATATTCAAGTACTGGATCCTCCATTTTGTGGTGTTCATCTACTATTTTCAACGTGCCACTTAACACTCTCACTGCTATCTGCTAAACAGTGAATATATATATATATATTTATTTATTTATAGACTTGGGTTTTTCCAAAGCTGAAAGCCTTGCAGTTTCACAGTCAAGGGCTCCAAACAAATCTCTGTATCTCTTCCCTTAAGTATGCATTAGAGTCATATTTAATCAATCCAGAAAGCATTTGTTAACAAAAGGAAGCTAATTACCTTCACACTTATGTGAGAAATTCAAGGTCTAAATTTGCTTTATTTCTCTAGGCAGGATTTGTAGAAAAGAGACAGATGCAGATCACATACCAAAACCTTTTTAAGTAGGAAATCTGAGTACCACTGTGGAAGCCACACTCACTGCTTTTGGGCCCTCTGGTTCCCACTGATAAAACATTCAGGGCAGAGGCTGCCTAATGATTAAAACCCATTTTAACTTTCATTGTAAGGATGTGAATGTGTTTGCAATACCCTAAAGATGATGTTGAGAGGTACTTCCCTCAGTTTTTAAGCCTTTAGGAAGAATACATAAATAACTTTTAAAACAGTTTGTCTTTTTTTCTCACCACTTTTTCTCTTCGCTCTATCAAAACACTGTACAGTTCCAAGGTGCACTACAGTTTCCATCGCCAGAGAAATAAAGAAGGCAATTCAAACTTAAGAAAATAAAGAGGTAACTCAATCTCAAGAAGATATAAAAGGTGACTCAAACTCAAGCCAATCACACAGCTGTTGTTTCATCCCTACATGCTTAAGGATGCATCTTTAAAATATACACAGACATTATCTTACATAGTCATGATGTTATCATGCCTGACAAAATTATCCTTGATTCTTTGGTATTAATCAATAATCAGTTCACTTTGGAAATTCCACAACTGTTTCAAAATTTGCCTTTACGATTAGCTTCTTCAGATTAGAATTCCAGCATCTCCCTATGTTGCATTTAGTTATTTTGCCTCTTCAGTTTCTTTGAACCTCAAGTGGCCATCACCATTCCCTCCGTTAATTTTCTTCATACCATTGACCTGTGAAGAAACCAGGTCAGCTGTCCTGCAGAATGTCCCACATCCTGAATTTGTCTTCTTGCTTCTTTGAAGTGTTACCAGAACGTCATTTAAATATGGATATGTTTGCTATCTGTGCAAGTTTCTCTACCTCCCTATTTTCCCAGAAAGTTTGTATTCCTTTGCAGATGGCGGTGGAAGCCATGGCCAGGGTTCCCTGGGGAGTCTTTCCCAGACTTGTCTGAGGACCATCATCATCTCTCACCTGGACTACTGTGACAGTCTCCCAGTTTGTCTGGTTTATTTTTTTCTTGTCCTCCTTTCACAATGCCCCCTCCCCATTCCTCTCCTCCCATGATATCCAGTATGATCTTTTAACATGAAAGGCGGACTCCTGTCTACTTAAAACTTCTCCAATGACTACATTTGGAATAAAAACCAAAGGTCTTACAATGACTTACTTGACTCCATTTGACCTGGTCTAGCCCACCTCCCCAATACCATCAACTACTGCACACCTGTGCTTAATATGCCTTTTTTGGCTCCTTGAGTACATAGAACTCTTTTCAGCTTTAAGCCTCTGCAGTCATGTATCAATTCTGCCTAGAAGGCCTTTCCCTCAGATATCTGCATGGCATGCTGTTTACCACCATTGAAGTCTCAGTTCAAAGATAACCTCAGAGGGCCCTTCCCCAACTACCCAAACCAGCCAAGCCATCCCCCACCCCGACCCCCACTTCAGCAGTTTACCCTATTTATTTCCATTATAGTACTTGCCACATCTGTAACTTTTATTCATATACTAGATTATCTCTCATAAGCTTGTTCTATGTTTTTTAAAAGACCCCTCGCTACCTGCTGTTTTCTATGTATTAATTTGCTTGTTCATTGCCTGCTACGTTCCATCTGAAGGTAGGCACCACCAGAACAGGGAACTTCCCCGTCTTGTACCTCCAGTGCCTAGAACTACAATTGCTCAATAAATCTTGCCGAATATAATAGAATCCCAAAAATTAGCCATATTGTTTACATACAGAATAGGTTCCTAGGCTGCCATGTCTAGGTCATTTTTATATTAAGTTAAAAATTGCTTATACAGTATATGCTATAAGAAGACCTAAGAGAACCTCTCACTTTATATTTCTTAAAAATCAGAATTAAATAACATTCTCCACATTTCTGACCATAATTTCAGGATTATCTATCTTTGCAACCACCTTATTTTTTATATATAGCAAGAAATGTTATCCTGTTGTTCCATCAGTCCAACAACAAAATGAATTATTTTCCCTTTGGTCTAAAGCTAATATGCTCTCATTATTTTATAAATAGATAAAACTATATGCATTATTATATATTCACTTAATTGATTTTTCACATGCAGGCACCTCTATAGCACAGTTGAATATTTGCAGTGCAATTATTATGCAATTTATATATTTATTCCATATTATCCTTGGTAATTATTATGGGCACTTTAACTTTCAATACTTAAAGGCAAGTATGTTCTTTGTGAACCCAACAAAGGAAAAATCTTCACTAATAGAGTAAATTAACATAATGGACTCTATGAATTAAGCTAATGACTTGTTTCTAAGTCTGCAATACAAAAACCGATGAAATAGAACAGATTAGAAAATTACCACCTTCATCACTTGATGGACAAAATCACAAGCACAATTCCGTGATCACTTACTTCCATCAGTAACTTGAATCCTTCTCTTTTCTTGATTTCTTCTACTAGGTACCTAAAAATGAAAGTCACAATAATGTTTATAATCTGCCACCTGAAAAGTCCCTGAACATGACTTACATATGATGGAACCATTAGTTCTGATGCAGAGACAAGGCTTAAAAAGACGAGGTATAGAAATAAAGAAGGATATGTGTATAGGGATAGGTGTGGATTTAGACAATTCTGAACCTACTGTAATCCCCTGGGTCCTGAGTAAAAAGATATGCCTTTTTGGTGAGATTTTGCCTATCTCCCATGTTAGCATGAGACTTTAACCCTAGTATGAAAACCACATAAAGTAGATTGGATATACATCTCTGACCACGGAGGATTTACATTCATATTTCAGATGGCGATTTAGCATAGGTACTTAAATTACCTAACTGGCTCAGAGGAAAAACTTTTTGGTGTGTCGTCTTGCTTACAAGTTCATTTAAGATCAAAGAAACTCAACATCATCTTTTCCAAGGCCAGGACAGAGGGAAGGAGACCTGACTGTTGGTTTCATATTAAAAGTAAGTGGTCTATAACCATTGATAGAATGTTTCTGAAGTCATCCCAAATGCCAGGGAAGAGAGCTATATATACAACATAAGCAAAGGGCACAGAAACATGAGATATGGAATAATCGAGAAAAAACTAAATGAACTTTGACTTGTTGGACTAAGCTGAGGACATGGAGCAAATTAATAGTGACAACCCTCCCCTAGGCTTGGTTATTGTCTATATAAAAAGGAAAGCCCTCCGAAATGGTTGGTCTTGAAAACCAGTGTTTTGATCATAAGTCTTGAAAAGTTCATACCACTTGACCCAGTATTTCAAATTCGGGGGCCAAATGTAAGGAAATGATCAGGGGTGCTGACAAGAATGTAATTGCCAGGGTATTTATTGTGGTTTTATATGTAAAAATAGAGAGAGAGAGGGATAAAGAGAGAGAGAGGGAGGGAGGGAGGAAGGGAGGAATGAATGTAGGTCATACACAGCAATTAAGAGTGGCTTTGAAAATTTTTGGCCAGTCATATGGAATCATGGTACAATATATGAAATATGATCATGTCACTAAATTTTGTATGGTCAATTAATATTAAGAACAATAAAAATGCTCTTCTTGGGCCTCAGTTCCATTATCTATAAGACCAGAATAAACACATTTTGCTTTCCAACCTCAAAAGATTGTTGTGAACAATTTAAAGAAAGTCACGTATAAAAACTGTAATGTACAGAAACCTTGGAAATTGGGGAGCTGCTATTATAATGTTCATTTGCTAAAGGACATTCTAGAATGTGAATATGGAATATACCAGTTAACAGGATGCAGTTCTTTTTCCTAAACTTATTTATATAACTTCTCACATTGGTTAAATATTGACGGTTAGCATATAGATTATATCATTTTTGAATTACACAAAATCTTATAAGAATTCTATAAGTATTAACTAGATAACATAGATCCTTTATTTTGAGTAATAATGTTGTGGCCAGATAAATACACACACACACAAACACACACACAGACTCACAAAGTATTTGATATTCTACTCTCTCCTTTCCCTGAGTATTTTTTTAGGAGATGTTAAGTTTTGGAACCTTTAGCACATCAAAAAAAGCAACTTTGATGATTAATAAACATCAGAAGAGATGCTCAAGATCACTGGTAATCAAAGAAGCACAAATTAAAACAACACAAAACTACATAGCCCACATGATACTGGAAACAAATTTTAAAGACAACACCCAGTGCTAGAGAGAATATGATAGAAAGCTGCCAAAACCCTTTCAAAATTAATAATACTCATATCTTCTGATGTAACAAACCACCTCTGAAATGCTGATCTACCAGGAAAAAGATCAATACTACAGATAGATAGACATCATATATAATACACACACATATATGTATATATACATATACAATATAACATACACATACAGCATGTTATTGTATCTAAATCTATGTGGGCCTGTGTGTGTATCCCATACAAAATAACTAGAAATAAGATTAACATCCAGAAATTGGCAAATAGTAAAATAAAATGTGTTATCGCAATTCAATGTAATATGATGCAGCTATTAAAAAGAATGGATTATATACTACTTTGATTAAACCACAAGGATGCTCATGATGTATTATGAGATAAAAGCAAGGTACTGAGGAATGTGGATAATAGGATTCCACTCTTTACGAAAAGGAAAGGTAATCCCTGTCAACATACAAGTGTATGTGTTCGTGGAATAAAGCAATTTTTGATAACTCACATGTTAGTATCAGGCTTTAAACCCAGTGTGAAAAACCACATAAAATAGACAGGATATACATCTCTGACCATGTAGGTTTCATATTCGTATTCCAGATGGCCATTTTGCATAGGTACTTAAATTACCTAGCTGGCTTGGAGGAAAAATTGTTAAATTGTTAATATTTACCTGGAGGAGAGAGGCACTGGATGCAATGGGGGAGATAGGGATTATTAACTCTCTTTTTATATTTCTTTGCAAAGTCTCATAGATGTGCTTGTGTAATTTTTGAAAAGGAACTTACTAAAAAATGTGAAGTACAAAACATAACAGACACATATAATCTCTATACAAGGAGACATGTGAACCATACTTTTCTCACCTTCTCAAACACAAATGTATAGGTGATCTGTTCACCAAAAGGCAATGCCATGATTTCATACTGAGGCAGCTTACAGGAATCCTGCACACCCTGAGGCTATGAAAACACTTTTTGTCTCCAGAAATAGCGGGAATGACTCTAGAAGATTCTAGTAGAGCAGCTAATCAACTTTGTGACTGCAGGCAAATTCCTTAGCCTCCCTGAGCCTCTCTTGGTTTCCTCACATATGTAATGGGGATGTGGAACCAGGTGGGTAAAATCCTTCCCTAACAGTTTACAACTGTATGAAATTTACACACACTACCTATAGTCTTAAATTAAAATATGTCTGTCAAACTGGCTAAAACTGCTCCTGGGAGAAAGGCATCCAGAAACACAACTGAATCATTTCAGTTAAAACTCTGCTTTTTGCTAACCAAGTGTATGGGCTTTGTGTCCAGTCAGTGTCCCCACTGCAGTCACTCTCAGGGCCTGTAAAGCCCAGTGTAACATCCTAATTGAGGGTGTAGGTGCTTTGGGTGAAGAGTTGCTATGATGACAATAAAAGGCTTATACTAGAATTCTAGAACTATGCGCCAGGATACACCATGTGAATAGGTTTCCACATGAAAGGATTCCATTGCCAAATAAATTGAGCGACCCTGGGCATATTCGTTAGATTGCTTTTGTCTACAATTAGAAGTCTACTTGGCTTAATTCTTAAGGATATTTACTGAGTTGGTTGGATAGTTTAATATTGTCATCAAGAGCCAGGCATTTTCTATCATTTCAGCCCGCCATACTCAGAGTGTTAGTGAAATCTCTCGTGTTCACAAATGTCTGCCACAGCTCCGAACATCACACCCTCATACAACAGTGACCCACCAAGGAAGAGAGGGCTTGAGCAAAAGCATTTTCTTTTATTCCTCTTATTTACATAAGCCTGTTTTCCCTAGAAGCCTTCACAGAATTCTTCCTATACCTTACTGACTAAAGCCTAGTCTTACATAACTAATTATTGGCAACAGGGACTGGCTTAGGCCAATGTTCCCAGCAGGAAGATTGCTACCTAAACAAAATCAGGGTTCTGGTGGACGGAAAAGGAGAGAGCAATTGTTGAGTGATCAGGCAACAGTGTCTGCATACTGGTTAAAGCAAAGTTAAAAATGTTTCTGTATTACAGGCTCCCTCATAGCCTTTAATGAGCTAATGAACACTGAATCTCCAAGAGAGGAATAATATAGTAGTTAGCACTTCTCAAACATATTTGACCATGGAAACATTTTTTGGAAGAACATTTATTAAAATATTCTGGAAGGCTATTATCCCACAGAGTGTAGTTTCAGAAATGCTAATTTAGAAGTGTCTCTTCTGTGGGATATCTTACCCTCTTCTTAAATAAATGCTAAACTGCAATGAGTTTCAGGGACGGAATCCAAATAAGGTTTGAGTCACTTCTGCCTAAATTCAGAGGGATGATTTGATCTTCATAACTTTTCACTATATGAAAATAGCCCAAAGATAAAATATTTTTAAAAAAAGCAAAAAATCTTCTTATCTAATGCAAGCCAGAAAAAAGATGTACATAGAATTTGGGGCATGACACAGGAAGCATAAATCACTTCTAGCAAAAGGCATCCAGGTAAATGGGTTTAAAAAGCAATAATAGCTTCATAAAACTCATCACTGTCCTTCCCACCAAGTTTAGCAAAAAGAGAGAAGAGAGAGGGAAAAATATACATTAGCTAGAGTTTTTGCTATTTCTACTGGGTAAAAACTCATTATATCAAGATTCTGGTTTGATATTGAAAAATACATTATTGATAATCTTGCTCTAAAACACTTTACCTTCCTTTGCTTACAAATGTGCTTCCAACACTAGAGAATCCTAATTCTCCAGTTTGTTAGATAAGTCCATTTAATATTTTTGCATTCTCCTAGTCCCTCTGTAAGACGTTCTTTCCTTTCTGGCAATAATCTTTCCAGAGTCTTTCTCAATTCATCAGTCACTTAGAGTCTCCCTGGACCAAGTTTCTCTCCCAGTCTCATCTCCTCATTTAAAATTTCTTCTAATGCACAGCCTCTCAGAACTCCTGAGAGTTTTTTCCATCTGCTTTCTGTATGCTCTGCATATATTAGAACATATTGCATGCCTTGTGTGAATTATCACAGACACCTACATGCTATATTCTACTGCAATTGTGAATTTTTTTTTAAGTTACCAATATAAAGAAAAAGCAAAAACATTGGACCTTCCATGGTCTTCTAGACTTTCTCCCTCTCATCACCTGGAGAAATACACTAGCACTAAAGTGCCTTTGTGTCACTGCTCACCTTGTCCATGCTGATGACAATCAATCCCTCAGTATTCATGCAAGCTGGTGAAATGAATTCCATCTGAGAGATTAGAGATTGTGGGTGTCAAGGGAACAGATAAATGACACACTGGAGACCTAACGAAGTAGCAGAATGGGGAGTTCCTGAGCTGTTTGTTGTCATTAAAAAAGACTTAGGCATGTGATTCTTCTAGACTTGCTTTAAAAATTACTCCTTGGTGAATACCCATTTACCCTGAGTGCCAAAACAAAGGCCTAGAAGGTGCCCTTAAGCAACAGCTATCCTGAAACATTTTCAATGTTCCTAGGCAGAAAGCGGAGGTATACAATCACCTGCCTTGTGTCAGAGCTGGTGGTTTTCAACCCCAGCCCTTTGGGTTTCAATTATGCTTAACAATCATCTGTCGCTACAGGCTCCCAAAGTCACTGGCTTTCAAACAACCTAAGGAGAAAACAAGTCTTTAGTCATTAATATTTCTTGAGATAAATGTTCTCGCCACAACTGGAATGACAAGGGCCAAATGGAAATTAGGAAAGGCCTTATAGATCTTACAGGTACTAATTGTTTCCTTCTTGCTAGATTTCTGACAGCTCCTAAAATAGGAATTTATGTCCTCTTGAAAATATCTACTCTTACTTTCCTGAAGGAAGAGGGAGCAAGCTATCTCATCAGGGAGATGGCAGTCCATTGGTCAACCAAAATCTGGTCCCAAGTCTTTAGGGCCATACACAAATTTCAAAACTAAATTCCATTCAGATTCAGGAACATGGAAACATTGTTTCTGGAATCAGTATAATCCTTACTACACTGCCTCAGAGGAAAAGAAGTCACAGTATTGAAGAGACCTGACCCAGAGTCGAGGGAAATGGGTATCTTAGCTACACCAGGCTGCCGATAATAGATGTGCACCCCAAACAGTAAAACAGTCCTCATTTACAGTTTACTTTGCTGGAGTTCTTATCTACTGAAGGAAATTATACTTCTTAGAACCAATGTTACTCTGAAATTACAGAAATTATTCTGGATAAAGCTGTCTGACCACAGATAAGAACTGTTTTTATTAGGTAAATGCTAAAGCAAGTGGCCTTGGGTCAGTGAGCTTGATGGGAAATGGTTTTTCACCTCTCACCAGTCCGTGGCTTGAACTGATTATGTTGGCTCACATAATGAATGGTGTTCTAGAGCTAGTTTGTATGGGCCAGTGAAAGCTAATGATCAAATATTCAGGCATTTTGCACATGTAATTGTTGATAGCTTGCAATTTTATATAATGGGAATATCTACACCATGGGAACTGGCAGACATTACAAATTGGGTTTATTAATTTTTCCTTCTAAAATCCAGTTTGACAGTACATCACTGCACATGGGCTCAGGCAAAGAATAGACCCCAGAACTGAAGAAATGTTCCATCTTTCCTAAAGAGCAGAACCACAACCACACAGCCAATTTGTAAATAAGTATAATCATGAAAATAAAGACTGTATGTTGCCGGCTTCCCATAACTCTTAATCCTAGAGAAACTTTTCCCAAGTTTATGATTTCATATTCATTCCAAGTAACATGTCGAAAAGGACTCAGCCCTTGCTTGGCCCTGGAAGTGGAAGAATAGGATGACTTTTGCCCACCCCAGGAACAGATCGTTGGATATGAAGAATGTAAAAAGTTAAGGCACACAAAGATATATATATATATATATATATATGAGTAACAGAATGAAAAGCAGGGATTATTTTTCAAATATTTAAACATAGGTCACAGACTCTGCAGTAATGCTCACTGAAATGTTAATTCAATTCAATTCAACTTGACAAACATTTACAAACAATAAGTGTTTGTTGAACTGAATTGAAATGTTAACATTTATCCTCCTGTGATACTGCTCTGCAAAAATTAGAAAGTGTCCTTAGACTATAAATTAAATTCCACCCTCAGATGAATGTTAACTTTATAATAAATACGATCATCAAATATTTATATTGAGCCTTGTTTCAAGACACTTGTCACTGAATTCCTTAGCAACTTAGATAAAATAACGCACAGATTCTACTGCACTAAATAACATGAGACAATACAAATAGGGAACAGAGCTTTCTGAACTTGTATTTTAATTTAACAGGCAAATATGAATATTTATGTCAGACAGTTTCATTGTTTTCATCATTGGATGGTTATCTCACTACTTCTTATTGTGGCACTTTACCCCTATTTCTAAAAAAGGCACATTCCTCACCAAGTTTCAATATATATTTTATAGGAGGAATTGGCAGAGCCTCCAGTGACCAGGGAGGACATGTGACACAGTGAGATGACTGCATTTCCCTAGCAACAGTGACTGATTCAGAGATGGACATTTGCCTCACTCAGAAATAATAATAATTTTCCCTGGGATTGTTAAGAGAGAAGCACATTCTCCTTTGACCTTGAACTTGAACCCTGGAGAATATAGATTGAATCCTTCTGGCAACCACCTTCCTGCAGAGGAAGCTCAACACAGAGAACAGCAGACAAGCAACATGCAGAGATACTGGGGCTTTGTGAGCTTATTTCAGCCCCTAGACCAAGCCATTGCCCAAGTCATCACTATTTTGCTTATAAGTAACATGCGTTAATACATTACCTTTCTTTGTTTATAATACCTTGAGTTAGAGTTTCTGTTGCTTAAATCAAGAGTTCTAACTGATACAATATTTATAATAGTCTTCAAACTATTTCTTAAACCATAATCTCTGGAACTGCTGACTTCTAACAATCTTCTAAAAGTGCCAAAGCCATCTCTTTACGTGTCCTTACAGCCAAGCCCCCTGCTGTTATGAACATGAATGCAGAAATCTCATTTGAGATGGATGCTGAAGCCCTGAAGACAGAGCTCTCATGTCCTGCCAACTCCTCATCAACTGAAAACCACAACAGGAAGAAGTTTAGCTTGCATTTTCCAGCAAAAAGAAGGCTACTTTGCTACCTGAGCAAGAGGGAGGAAGATTTGCTCTGTGCCCAGCAGCAGCCCCAGTCAATGAGAAACTGTACTACTTAGCAAACAAGAAGCTACTTCCAGTCTCTTCCAATGGACTCTCGTCCAAAGCCGCTTTCCCTTTTTACATAAGCAGCCTTCTCTCCTTTTTCTCTGGACTTGCCTGTGGTTCACCATAGTTCGCATGTCCAGAATTGCAATTTCTCCACCATTCCTGAATACACTCATTTTGCGGGTAAAATAATTGGCTGTTTTATCTTTAAGGTCAACATCATGTAACTCTGCAGTTCTTCCTGCAAAAAAGGCAGAGTGTAGTTCTTGCCTCTTAACATTGATCTTGGCCATTGGAAAGCTAGTAGATACGATGTGATCAGGACTTTAAAGTCAGCTTGCATCATTGGACTTGTCTTCTTGAGCTTCTGTCAGCTCCATCACAAGAACTTGCTCTGGCTAACCTGCTAGTCCAAGCAAGATGCAAACATGTGGAGAAGAGACCCAGAGCATCCCCGCAACCCCCTCGGCCACCATAGTATGGGATAATGGTACTCCAGCCAACTTGCAGATGTCTGATAATCAATAATTGTTTCAAGACACTGGGTTTTCAGAGAATTCTGCATAGAGCACCCATACCATACCACTCCCACTACAGAAGGAGGAAACTGTTTTAAATCTCTAAGCAGAGACTTCAGGATTTTGCAAGTGGAATGTGAACAGGGAATGTGAGGGACAGATTTTGCAAACCAGAAATCACAAACTGATGCCTGTGGTGGCCAAGGAGGTGAAAATAACTAAAAGTCATATAGCATGTAGCATATGCCAGGCACTAGTTACATATTTCAATTCATTTTATCCTCATAACGATTATTTGAACTAGATGCTATTGTTATTCCCATTTTCCTGGGACAAAACTGAGGGACAGAGAGGTTAAGAAGCTTGCCCAAATCACAGAGCTTGTGAACGGAAGACCTAGGTTTTGAGTCTCAGTTGCTGCACCTCTATGTTACAGTAAAATAAGCTAGTTAAAAAACAGAAGGAGGTGGAGGGAACTGGGGTTCCTTGGAAAGTTAGACATCATCGTGTTCAGTGGTGTGTCACCCTGCAGGATTGAGAGCATTCTGATATTTTCAGAGAAGGTGAAACTCAGATGTTTGATAAATCTCCCTATTTTTAAGTATTTTAAATGTTTAAATTTCTGAATTTTTTTTAACACCAAAAAGGTTAACCCTATGAGAAACAGGCTTAACAAATCATATTTAAAACTACATTTGGCTGGGGCCTGCCATTTGCCCCCACTGATCCAAGCTTAGCAAGGGTCCTTTCCAGGAGGCAAATGTCTAGTGCCTGTAACTCAAGAATTTTTCTAATGTCTTTGAAAGTGGTTTCAAAAGCTTTGTCTCCGCTGTTGTCATAAGGTAAACAACCACAGTGCTTCCACACTAACTTTAGCTTCTCGCCTTTATGCCAGCCCCCCATTCTCAGGGACCTGCTTGCTGGGTCCTAAAAGTCATCGTGATCTCATTCACATCCATGGATGTGGGCCTGCTGTGGCCTCTGCTGCCTCATTCTTCTCTTCCCTCAGGAGTCTTAGTTGAATGTTGCCTCCTTCAGGAAGCCTCTGCCCCTGCTACCCGGGAACATACTAGAGAACCCTCCTGGGAGCTGGGGGGCCATGTCCCTCCCCTTACCAAAAAGTAAGTTCACCTGTATTTGATTGGCTCTGTCACCTAAATGTATCTCTTACCAGGCTAGGATCTTAGGATCTTGGAAGGCAGGGGTAGGATGGCTTTGTTCATAATTCCTAATCCATGGTAGGTGCTGAGAAAACAGTTATTAGGTGAAAGGAGAGAACAAATGGAAGAATATGTTCAGACCTTGCAAATACTACTGTCACTGAGTCTAGTACAGATATGCACGGACACACACAAATATATACACAAACACGCACGCACAGAGGCAAGTACCTAGATAAAGCAAGAGCGCGATTAACTCTTTCTTCAAGGCCCAAGGTGCCCAGGGCCTTCCAGGTCATCCAGAACTTGAATGCATCCGGTCTCCTGCTACACTGGATGGATTTGTCTCCTGTGTCGTAGCTAACGTCATAGAATTTATCCTGCTGGAAGAGGTAAGATGCCTTGGCAGAGTAGCATTTCTTAAGAAGGTCCTTTAGAAAGAAAAGAAAAGAGAGAACTTGTTAATACTGCCCATTTTTAGAATGCATTTTATTTCAAAAACACATACCCACCAACAGAACCTGTATGGTACTCTACTTTGGGCCAAAGCAATTGTTCTCCCCTATGGCTGCTTTATGTCAGAAGCAATAGATACGTTATTAACTTTGAGACGTGAATTACCCACTGTGTCTAACAAAAAAAAGAAAAACAGAAAGGAAAACCCTCAGAGTTAAGATTGCCAAGTGAATTTCCACAATTTCACTGATGAGCATTGAGAAGCTTAGAGGTGACCATCATCTGTATGACATCAAGGCAGGCCAATTTCTCAAGATGAAAAAAAATCTGCCTATAACTCACCCAAGGCTCCATATTGCAAAAAAAATACCTAACATATTGTACATACTGTATACAATTTCATAGGCAAACACTAGGTTTTTAAACCCTCTTTTTTTCAACTCATCCATATTGAAAAGACAAGGAGTGACAATATCCAGGGATTAAAACCCTGCAGAAAGAGCCAGGGAAGAGATAAACAAGAGCTGCCACACAAACATCGGCTGTGATTCCAGTCGGTTTGTTGGGTTGGTCTTGCACTGGTTTCATTTGCAACCAAATCCACTTTGCATTTACTGACTGGTTACTTCTCTCTGTGCATGGGTGACAGTTTACCCTATTTATTACCATTAAAGAGTCTTCCCTTGAGCCCCACATTTTTAGAGTTTAAGCCCTATTGCTGTAACTGTCCCTTGGTATCTACAAAACCCCAGTTTTCCTATCCTGTCCTTCACAAACCCCATAAGCCCATGTGTCTCCATCCCAAAGAGAACCTGTTAGAACCCTTTTCTTCTCCAGTATAACCAAACTATTCTATGTCTCTTAACCACTAAGTCATGCCCCATCTCTATCTTTACTCATACCATTTGCATGACCTTGTGTCTATTTTTAATATGACAGTTCACACATTTGAAAGAATAGACGCAGCATATCTGTTAAGTTCTGACGTTTACTAACACAGAACCCAGTCTTCCCTCTTAATCTATGTCTGCCTTTCCTTCAGATCCCATCTCAAGTTCTGCTTCCTCTTCAGCTTCTTTTTCAGCCCACCCCATTGGACTCACTTCTTCCGTTTGTATTTGGCTGCATCTGTTGCCTTTGCCCCTACACTGCCCCTTCTCAATGAGCAGTCCGCTTGTATTCTCTTTTCATGTGGATGAGCAAGTTCTTAGGGGCAGGACTCACTTCCTGCCCATGTCCACATCCACAGAGCTTAACACTGTCTTGGGCACAAAGGACCCTTACTAAGCCGCTAGGGAAATGATGCCACTTCCCATATTCCCTGCTGCTCCCTGGCAAGCATATGAGCGTAAGATACACAGACATGTGAACTTCTCATTTGGTGCACCTTCCAAACCTTTATGGTGCAAAATCATCAATGCTGTACCAGAAGCTATAGAGAAACTCCCCAGTAGTCACAGAGGTCCTAGGAAATGATCCCTTCTGAACAGAGAATGTGTTAAATGTATTCATTTGATTGATCAACTTGTACTTAAAGAATAAAAAGAAAATCTCCATGTATCCACATTCCACATAAAATTATGCATTTACTGTCTTCATCGCAACATTGTCTTATGTGGACAGTAATCTGCATATAATGTGTTCCATTTCTAGAGAGCATGGTTTTATACTATGTAAGAAATTCTATTCCAAGTTTCATCAAGAAATCCAAAACATGACTCATCCAGTATCCAAAATAAACTGAGTACACAATAATGACTGGAGGAAATGAGGAAGCCTTCGGCCTGGCTCTGATGGAGGTTATTGGTAGACTCAGGAGAAGAGCAGACGGCTCAGGCCTGACCGTCAAGGTAGAAGAGCGCCTTACCCTTTGATCTTTACTTTAATTCCACCAGCAATCTCTCAGCTCTGATCACAGATGCCACCACTGCATGTCCTCTATCCTCAAAGGTCAGGAAATTTGGTTATTGTTTCCATAGCAACTACAGTCTGACCATATATTATAACATGAAAAGGCCACTGCATATATTTTAAGGACAAAGCATGTATACACAGGCTTGTACTGGCATCATGATTTTAACTTTACTTTCATCAACCACGAAAGAGTGAAAAAAAATCCCCAGAGCAGATGAACTTTAAACACATCTCAGGCAAGTTTCAGTGTCTTATACCAGTGATTGAAAGGGAGAGGAAGCCCATCCCCTATCACAAGACAAATTGCATCATCATAGGCATGTGGAGAAACAGAAAGCCAGGAAGACATATAGCAGAATGAGTGGCTGCCCTGCAGGAGTGACACTGTTAATTTCATCGCACTGAAAAACCCTCCTGCCTTGGGAAGGTTTCATAAAGAACACCTGGAGGCTTGGGATTTACTTTATTGAAAACAAATGAACACTTTCCCCACAAAGTTCCTGCTTTGCATTTTAGTTTGCATCCTTGTATTAAAAGGGATGTCTTTAGTTTTAAGATACACAATAACTAAGATATGTTCATATCTCCAGAGAAACCAACATTCTGGCATAAGCATAGTAAAAGTTAACATTTTTGAAAACGATTAGTCATTATTGTTATTAGATATTAGTCCTATCAAGGAGAAGGACCGTGTTTATCTTGCTCATCTTTATACTCTTAATTCCAGCAGGACAATAAGTACTAGTTTTAAAAGTTCCAGAGAGAAGTGTGCACTGGGAACACCAACTGCTTACGTTATGAATAGGATTAGTAGGCATTCCCAGGAATTAGTAGGCATTGTATTAGGACTCAGGCAGTGGTGAATGAAAGAAATGCAATCAAAGTAGCTTACACAAAAAGGGGAGTTTTCGTAGGCTCATATATTTAAAAACCCAGGAATATATCATCTTCAGGCACAATTGAATCCAGGATTAAACCTGGAATCTGTCTTTTTCCTTGTGTTATATTTTTTTGTGTTGGCCTCACTCCTAAAGCAGAAAGCTGGTGAAAAACATGGGAAACTGATGCTTCCAGGGGGACCTGTGGGTAAGAAGGCAAGCTCTGTTTGGAGAGAGATTAGAAATGGAGAAGAGACAGACAGCAGCAATGCTACCCAAGAAGAGAAAGATTTCCCAGTCTCAATCTCCTGTCTGAACTTTCTGCTACCCAAACCTATCAGGTAGCTCATTGGCAAGGGAGCCTGGGAAATATGGTTTGCAGGAGTCAGGTCTCCTTCAGAGCAAACAGAGGAAGGCTGAAGAGTTTATTACACAGCAAAGAGAAACATGCATGTGACAAGTACACACTGTGAGTATAGAAACCACCACTTTCCTTCTCACTGCTTGTGTTCACATGGAACCTAGCACCTAATAATGATAACCAGAGCCACCATTAATGGAGTTCTTACTATATGTCAGGTTCCGTATATGTATTAACTCATTTAAGTCAAACAACAACCCAAAAAGATAACTTCTATCGTTCCTGTCAATGCCATTGTACATGTGAGGAAAATGCAACACAGTGAGGTTTGGCTCATTACAGGCACACCTCATTTCATTGCACTTTTTGTATTGCATTTCACTGATACTGCATTTTTACAAATTGATGGTTTGTGACAACCCTAAGAGAGCAAATCTATCGAGGTCATTTTTTCCAACAGCATTTTCTCACTTTGTGTCTCTATGTCACATTTTGGTAATTCTCTAAGATTTCAAACTTTTTTATTATTTTTATTGCTTTTATGGTGATCTGTGGTCAGTGATCCTTCATGTTACTGTGTAACTGTTTGGGGGCACAACCAAGATATACAAGCCGTACAAGATAGTGGACTTAATAGATTATGTCACTGACCAGCCATTCCTCACACCCTCTTTCCCTCTCCTCAGCCCTCCCTATTCCCTGAGAAACAACAATATCAGGCCAGTTCATAAACTCTGCAATAGCCCTTAAGTATTAGAGTGAAAGTAGAGCCACACATGTTTCACTTTAAAGCAAAAGCTAAAACTGATTAAGCTTAGTGAGGCAACCATGCCAAAACCCAAAACAGGCCCAAAGCCAGGCCTCTTGCACCAAACAGTCAGCCAAGTTGTTAATACAAAGGAATGTTCTTGAAGAAAATTAAAAGCTCTCCTCCAGGGAACAAACGAATAGTAAGAAACTGAACGGCTTTATTGGAGCTGATAATGCAGAAAGATTTAATGGTCTAGACAGAAGATCAAATCAGCCACAACGTTCCCTTAAGGCAAAGCCTAATCCACAGCAAGGCCCTAACACTCTTCAATTCTGTGAAAACTGAGAGAGGGGAGGAAGCTGCAAGAGCACAAAGTCTGAAGCTAGCAGAGGTTGGTTCATGAGGTTTAGGGAAAGAAGCTGTCTCTCTAACATAAAAGTGCAAGAGGAGCAACAAGTGCTTATGGAGAAGCTATGTTATCCAGAAGATCTAGCTGAGATCATTGATGCAGGCGGCTACACTAAACAACAGAATTTCAATGTAGATGAAACAGCCTTCTATTGCAAGAAGATGCCATCTGGAACTTTCATAGCTAGAGAGGAGAAGTCAACAACTGGCTTCAAAGCTTCAAAGGCTGACTCTCTTGTTCAGAGCTAATGCAGCTGGTGACTTCAAGTCAAAGTCAATGCTCATGTACCATTCTGAAAACCCTATGGCCCTTTAGAATGATGTTAAATCTACTCTGCTTGTGCTCTGTAAATGGAACAAGCAAGCCTGGATGACAGCTCATCTGTTTACAATATCTGTTTATAACATGGTTCAAATACTGAATATTTTAAGCCCACTGTTGAGATGTGCTGCTTAGAAAAAGATTCCTTTCAAAATGTTACTGCTCACTGATAATGCACCTGGCCACCCAAGAGCTCTGATGGAATTGTACAACCAGATGAATGTTGTTTTTATACCTGCTAACACAACCTTCATTCTGCAGCCCATGGATCAAGGAATCATTTTGACTTCCAAGTCTTACTATTTAAAAGAATATATTTTGTAAGGTTATAGCTTCCAGAG